CTCTTCAGCAACCCAGGATGAATGCCTACAGCTCAGAAGCTTTCATCCAGTTATCCAGCAATGCACATCCAGTTTGCAAAGCAAGAAAATTAATCCTTCAGCCAGTGTGTGCCCACAGCAATGGACTTGTAATTTTCCACCCTATATGTATATGGACTAAAAAATATATTTATACTCATATGTAATTCCCCAAAAATGAACCACATAATTGATCTAGAGATGAATGTGGTTAACTAATGGAATAGCATTCTTTTTATAGTGTACTTGTTGGTTAAAGAGTGGTTTTAAGACTAATATTTCCTGAAGATTTTTCAGGGTCTAGAAAAACTGTTTTTTTAAAAAAAAAAAGCACAATACATACACTCAGCAATAAATGGGTCAATAAATCAGGGATGTTATGATGTGCTCGGGTAAAATGATAGCTTAAAGCAGAAACCAGTTATTTAGAAATTACAGGCCTTAGTGAAGCAATGGACTTTGGACAGTTCTCAGGGGCTCAGTGTCCCCCTTTGCTGCCCAGAATCCTGCAAGCAAAGCCCCTGCCCAGGCCACAGCATTCAGCTTACACAAAGGTCTCTGTTGCCCATCTTACCAGTTACATTTGTAGAAAGGCTACTTAAATAAAATAGCATGTTCTACACAGGCAATTCCTCAGTAAAAATGGGATTTAGTAGTTTATGTTTCAAAAATAATTTTGAGGCCCTCAAAATGTCTTAAAACTATAAAGCCACTTCCCCCAATGCATAGCAAGAAATAGATGATTATCAAGGTTTAAATTATTATTATTATTATTATTATTTTGTCAGTCATGGGGCTTAAACTCTGGGCCTGAGCACTTCCCTCAGCTCTTTAGCTCAAGGCAAGCACTCTACCACTTGAGCCACAGCACCACTTCTGGTTTTCTGGTGGTTTACTGGAGATAAGAGTTTCATGGACTTTCCTGTCCGGGGTAGCGTTGAACCTGGATCCTCAGATCTCAGCCTCCTGAGTAGCTAGGATTATAGGCATGAGCCATCAGAAGGTGGAGAAATTTACTTTTAACTGATACATAAAACATAAAGATAATAAATATATCAGGAACAATAACAAGAAAGAAAAAAATCACTTGTGTCCCTATCTTGAAGTTCATTTTCTTAACATCATCTTATCTGGTCATAAGTACATAGCTTTTGACCTTTTCTGCTTGTCCCAGACATATACTAGTTATTGCAATAAGGAAAACCATAGGACCTATGTTTCTTTGGGCCTGGCTTATTTCACTTCCACTGTATTTGATGTCGGTATCCTGCATCTTATATATATATACTTCTCTAGCTTGGGGAGGGGAAGGTAAAAAACAAAATGCTTAAATAGGGATACAGGTTGACCCATTGTAACAATGAGATGTACAAGACACTATGTTGAAAACGAACATTACAATTTAAGCAGGGGGTGGGGGGTGGGGAGGCGTGTAGTTGTGGAGGTGGGAGGGAAGGGAAGGTAGGGGAAAAACACAGGAGGAGGTAACAATGCTTGATAGGAAATGTACTCATGACCTTGCTTATGTAACTGTAACCCCTCTCTGTACAGTATTTTTACAATAAAAATGTATTTTAAAAAAACAAAAAGATTTTTTAAAAAACATTATACAAATGAATAGGTATGTGTGACACTTGATATTTTTATATGAACACTGTGATATTTAAATGAAAATAACATGTTTGTTTGATCTTATATACTTACTATATCTTCATGGTAAGATCATGCAAGCTCCTTTCTTCAAACTCTGAAAAACATGTTTCATTATTGTCATCTCTCATGCCTCAGCTTTGCAACAGTACACCAATAGCTTCTTGCTAACTATCACTTAACTCATCCCCCCCCACCCCTTCCCATTCCCTCTGGTTTTTGGTATCAACTGTTCTAGTCTCAACTTCCATGAAATCAAGGCCTCTAGGGTCTACATATGAATAAGATCATCTTTCCCTATCTGGCATATTTCACTTACTATAATCATCTCCTCTTCCATCCATGTTAACAGAAACGATAGAATTTCATTGGCTTTTGGGGGGAGAGGTTGGTTTGCATTTTTTTAATTTAGTCCTTATTTGTGCTAATATTGGGATTGAACTCAGAGCTTGGATGATGTCCTTTAGATTTTTCACTAAAAGCTGACCTTCTACTACTTGAGAAACACCTCCATTTTTTTTATTTCTTTCTTGTTAATTGGAGGTAAAAGTCTCCTCGACTTTCCTGCCTGAACTGGTCTTGAATCACGGTCCTCAAATCTTAGCCTCCTGAATAAAGATTACAAACATGAGCCATTCATGCCCAACAAAATACACACAGACACACACACACACACACACACACACACACACACTATATGTCTGGGTGTGTATAAGTACACATATACTATATGTTCTTTACCTACTCATCAGTTTAATCATCACTTAGGCTTTTTACATTTCTTGACTACCATGATTAGTGCTAAATAAACAGAGAGGTACACACTGATTTCACTTTCTTTAGATACTTACCCAGGTATGTATGGTAGTTTTAGCCCTAATTTTTTTACAAGAATTATACTGTTTATATAATGGCTGTATCTTCCTGCCAACAGTGTAATTATCTATAACTTATTTTTTTATTATGAGAATACCGTACAGAGGGGTTACAATTACATGGGCAAGATATCGAGTACATTTCTTATCAAACATTGTTGCCTCCGCGTTGTTTCCCCTTCCCATCCCTTCCCATACTCCTCCCCTCCCCCCACCCCCCACCAAAGTTGTTAAGTTCGTTTTATGACATAACGACTTGTACATCTCATTGTTGCAATGGGTCCATCTGTATCCCTATTTAAACGATTTGTTTTTCCCCTTCCCCTCCACAAATTATACCAACATCAAATACAGTGAAAGTATGGGTTATACTGTGGGGGAGGGACATACATATGATAGAAACAATTGCATGAAAGGAAAAAAAAACAAAAAAAATGTGAATACTTATCTTGGGGTTCATTCCCCTAACATCAACTTATCTGACTTTTTCTGCTTGACTCAGACATATGCTAGTTAGTGCAAATAAGGGAAACCATGGGACCTATGTTTCTTTGGGCCTGGCTTACTTCACTTAATATAATTTTTTCCAAGTCTTTCCATTTCCTAACAAATGGGGCAATGTCATTCTTGCTGATGGAGGCATAGAATTCATATATATAACACATTTTCTTGATCCATTCATCTAGTGAGGGGCATCTGGGTTGGTTCCATATCTTAGCTATGGTAAATAATGCTGCAATAAACATAGTTGTGCTGGTAGGAAGAATATCAATAACAAATTTCAAACTCTACTACAAAGCCATAGTAATCAAAACAGCTTGGTACTGGCACAAGAACAGACCTCAGGACCAATGGAATAGAACTGAAAACCCAGAAATGAACCTAAAGACCTATAGCTATCTAATCTTCGATAAGGGAGCTAAAAAAATAGAATGGAAGAAAGACAGCCTCTTCAGTAAATGGTACTGGCAAATTGGTTAACTACTTGTAGAAAACTAAAGCTAGATCCTTATATATCACCTTGCACCAGAATCAACTCCAAATGGATCAAAGACCTTGGAGTCAAAGCAGATACTCTGAAAACATTACAGCATGGAATAGGAGAAACCCTAGGTCTCCTTGGCACAGGCTGAAATTTTCTTAATAGAGACCCAGAAACACAACAAATCAAAGAAAGGTTGGATAAATGGGATTGCATGAAGTTGCAGAGCTTCTGCATGGCAAAGGACATAGCTAGCAAGATCAATAGAAAGCCCACGGATTGGGAGATCTTCACTAGCCATACAACAGACAAGGATCTCATATCTAAAATATACCTGGAGCTTAAAAAATTAAATCCCCCAACAACAAATCTTCAAAGAAACAACTGCCAATAAATAAGTGGGCTAAAGACTTAAAGAGAAACTTCTCTGAAGAGGAAAGATGGATGGCCAATAGACACATGAAGAAATGTTCAACCTCTCTAGCCATAAAAGAAATGCAAATCAAAACAACATTGAGATACCACCTCACCCCAGTTAGAATGGCAAAAATCAAGAACTCTAATAACAACAGATGCTGGACGGGATGTGGACAGAAGGGAACCTTACTGCATTGTTGGTGGGAGTGTAAAGTTGTTCAACCACTTTGGAAAGCAGTATAGAGGTTCCTCAAAAGACTCCACATAGAGCTCCCCTGTGACCCAGCAATCCCACTTTTGGGCATTTACCCAAATGATCACAAACAAGACCACACTGAAGCTCTATAACTTATATAACTGTAAATTGTTTACTATTTCGATTCTGAATTCATCAGTGCTAAACATGACCTTAATTTGTCTTTGAAGTGGAATTTTCTTACAGCATTAGTTATTGCTTCAAATGGCATCTTATTTTCCACAATTGTATTTGTTTTTTTTTATTTACTCTTCCAATGCTTGTACGAGGGGGTTACAACCTAGCATGTCCATGAATGTGTCTAGCCACTCCTTTGATCATGAGCACCCCACTTTATCTAGAGTTATGTCTCATTTTCCACTTTTTTTTGCATACATGCATTGAAGGGTATAACACTTTGTCCCCGTTCCCTTTTGCATTCATCCTCTCCCCTCCTGCTAGGCCCATCCTATTCAAACTGTTTCAGCTTCCTGGTATTCATTTTGTCTGTTAATTGAGTTAATAGAGTTTTACTCCTGCCTGTATTATACTTCAGTTGGCTTGATCATGTGTATGAGCACATGCTCCTGAGTATATTTACATGGAAAGTTATATTTTGGGGTCAAAGACCCACATATCATATGCCTATTTTAATATTTCTATTGACTTTTTTACCCTAATCAAAGTAAGATTTGATTTAGAGACAGGAAATTTTTCATTGTCTTTTGCTTTGATCTGATTTTGGTAATGCATCAGGGACCATGAGAAAGAGAGATAAGAAATTTTCATTCTCCCTCTGTAAACTTTTCTCTTCTGTCAATAGTTTGGATCTGCTAGAGAGGGAGAGATAAACTGTCATCAAGTAGATTGTCCAGACAAAGGGTTGCATTTAGCAGCTGTTTCTGAAAAGGTGGACCCTGGAAAAGGTGAGCTGTTAGGGAAACTGTAAGAAAAACAAGCAAATTTCTCAGTGTCAAGCAACAGGGAAATGAGATCTTGCTATCCATTTTTTGTTGAATATTTACTATTACAACCCAATTTTTGTTCTTTCTACCTGTGGGAGAATAATTATTCACTGAGGTCCTGGAAGAAACATAAAGGGCAAGGGTTTATTCCAGAAGCCTTGAACAAGAATTGGGTTTGAAAGCTTTCTTCCATTTGAAGAAAAAGTGCTAAGGATAGTTGCTGTGGTCCAGCCACAGCATGAACAAGGGTTCCGAGGGGCAAAGGGATTGATGAAGGAGGTGGAGAGAAGGCTGAAGGCACAACTCTGTTTATTCCAGCAAAAGCCTCAGCTATATCCACTTTATTTGTCAAATGCTTGTATCACATTGTTCTAGAACCCACTGTGCCAACAAGTGCAGAGAGTACGCATCCTTCCTCATTCTATTTCAAACAATCTTTGTCTACAATACTCCCTCAGATAAGCCCCCAGGCCCAGAAGCCAAGAGAAACACTTCCTTGAACAAAAGGGCAAGTACTTCCAGCCCAAAGGGTTGGAGTCATTGCTCACACGTTGCCAGCTCCTGGCATCTTAGGGTCTGCAACAGATAGTCATGAAATGGAGGCCATATATGGAGGTTTGTGCACATGTAGAACAAAAATACTTAAAAAGCATTTGACTCTGAGTAGTGACTGTGTATTAATCACAGAAGGGTGCCATGCATTAACCCCACAGACTGCCCTTGTCTCTGCTAGTAAAGGTAACATAGCTATGTCCTTAGCTAATGTGCACTCCACCCTCTTCCCATGGGGGAGGGATTGTAGGATGATCGTACTTCACTCAGATCACTTTATACCAAGTGTAAACCATCTTTATCGAGATGGGGTCTTGCTGATTTTTTTTTTTGCATGGGAGTAAGAGGACCTTGAACTGTGATCCTCTTGCTCTCAAAGTTCCAAATAACCTGAACTGATCAGTGGTTTAAAATAGTAATTACTCTAGTCTGTTCAAGACGATGTTTTTGGCATGAAAAGAGAAATACTCCTGGAACAGGCACTGCAGTTCTGCTCAACTAACCATCTTTAATCTCTGCATCAAAATATTGTTGAGGTTAAATATCAAGAGCATCTGGCTTTAGAATGCCCTGGAGAGCACATGGGCTTTCTCAGCACAGTCATTGTGCACCTCCTGGGACCCACACTATCCCTTTTCCAAACCAGATGCACACAGGAATAAATAGCACAAGCTCCTGTGGGCCTGTTTCTCAGTGCTTCCCAGCTGTGACACAATGGTGTCCAGTCTACTCTGCAGTGTAAAGTGTAAACTGCAAAATTCTCAAACTAGAAGTAGCCTTTGTGCTGCCATGTAATAGTTATGGGCTCTTCATTCTTAGCCATAAAGGAAAAGGAAATCAAAACATGGCTAAAATCCCACTGGGCCCAAGTCAAAATGGCAGCCATCAAGAAAATAAATAATAATAAATGCTGGAGAGGTTGTGGAGAAAAGGAATCTTCATACATTGTTGATGAAAATATAAATTAATGCAACAAAAATTTTTAAAAAAAATAAAATAGAATTACCATATGATCTAGCTGTACTACTCTGGGGCATATATCAGAATTAATCAGGATACCTGCACATAGATGCTTAAAGAAATATGGCACAAGAGCCAGATATGGAATCAGCTTTGGTGTCCACCAACTGATAAATGAATAAAGAAAATGTGAGATATAGACCTACATCTATACTTGCCCCTTCACATACATTTACATATACATGTGTATGTATATATAAATATGTTATATATTGTTTTATATATATGCATAGATATAGATACATGGATATAGATAGATACCTAGCTATATATATATGCATATATCTATATGTATACATATGTACATGTGTGTATAGATATGTATATACAAACACAAGCACAAAGGAGCATTATTCAGTAATAAAAATGAAATTGTAGCTGGGTACCTGTGGCTCATGCCTGTAATCCTAACTAATCAGGGTGCTGAAACCTGAGAATCAAGGTTTGACCAGCTTGAGAAGGAAAGTCAGTGAACCGCCACTTCCATCTAACTAGCAAAAAGCCAGGCTAGAGGGATGACTCAAATGGTGGAAAGCCAGATGTGAGCATGATGCCCTGAGTTTGAACCTTAATATTGTCACAAAAAAGTCCCTTTTCATGTTATGTGTTCTGACAGTGTTATTTCACTAATGCTGAGATCTTTTTAATAAATAGCAAACGTCAAAGTTTCCAATCTTCCAGATCAGGCCAATTCTTATACATTGTTTCCTAAAAATACAGTGTTTTCTCTAAAAACACTGTGGTTTGACTTTGTATCATTTCTGTGTTTTATTTCTCAGATTTGCTCATCTTTCCTTAGCATAATAAATGGTATCCTTAACATGTATAAGCAAGCACATCTTTCTAACTCTTTATCTGACCAATTAAGCCACAAGTAGGACAAGTAATTCCTATAAATTTGCATATTTACTATAAAACTTAGAAAGGAACACCTCTAAATCTTAACCTTTTTATGTGCTTCAGATGCATTCTGTTCATCTGAAAAATTGTTTCAAGTGGCCAAATTATCCATTACAGCTGAGATTTCCAAGTTGACCTGCCAGAAATTAGGGGAAAATATTTTCCAATGCAGCCAAACCTCATATCATAAAAAACATTCCCCATAAGAAATCTCTTACATTTATCATATGACTTACTATGACATAGCATGATTGCATATAATTACATTTTCTCTTATTTATTTGATTCTGCCACAATAAATCATATTAAAATGATTATTTTCAGAATGTAAAGCCAACTGAAGGTTTTGTGGTAGGAACCAATCATTATTTTTTTCCTTTTTATTGGTGCATGTTAATGGCACAAAGGCAGGTTCATTGTGCTATTTCCGTATGTGCATTCAATGTACTTTGATCAAATTCACCATTATATTACTCTTAATTTCTTGTAACCCCTTTTTAAAACAACTTTAATATATTTTGTTATTCTATTTCCATGTGTCATGAAATACTTTGGTCATATTCATTCCTGACTTCACCCTTGTCTTTCACCCATTGAAGTGGTCCCCACATTCTCTATTTGTGTCATTTTTTGGGGTGTGGGGATTGGTCATGAACTCTGCCTGGCCACTGTCCCCAAGCTCTTCAACTCAAGGTGAGCACTTTGCCACTTGAGCCACAGTGCCACTTCCAGTTTTCTGGTGGTTAATTGGAGAGAAAAGTCTCATAGACTTTCTTGCCCATGAACCATGATCCTGAACCATGATCCTTGAACCATGATCCTGAGTAGCTAGGATTACAGGCATGAGCCACTGGTGCCCAGCTTTGTTTATTTTTTAAGATCTGGATTCCACATATGAGAGAGAACATGTGGTATTTGTCTTTCTCAGTCTGGGTTGATTTCCAGTTCCATTCATTTTCCTGTAAATTATACAAATTCATTCTTTCAGTGTGTGTGTCCACATACTGGAGCTTGAACTCAAGGCCTGGCCACCTGTTCCTTAGCATTTTTAGTCAAGGCTGGCACACTACCACTCAAGCCATATATCCATTTCCTGGGCTTTGATGGTTAAAGAGTCTCATGAACTTCCCTGCTCCTGCTGGCTTCAAACATGATGTCAGATTTGGGGTTCCTGAATAACTAAGATTACAGGTGTGAGCCACCAGTGTCCTGGCTAATCTGACATGATGGCCCAGACTCTCTCAGGCCTTGTGTCAATCACCAGGGACAACTAATGGGCATGTCTATACAAGTTCAGGCTTATAAATACACAAGTGCATACATATAAGTTGTATCATTATGATTATTACCAAGATTTAAAATTTAAAAATTATTATTCAGTGGGGGCTGGGAAGTTGGTTCAGTGGTAGAGTGCTTGCCTTGCATGCATGAGGACATGGGTTTGATTCCTCAGCACCACATAATCAGAAAAAAGCCAGAAATGGTGCTGTGGCTCAAGTGGAAGGGCATCAGAAATGAGTTGAAGAGCTGAGGGACAGTGCCCAGGCCCAGAGTTCAGCCCCCAGGACTGACAAAAAATCATTATTCAAGACAGTATGATTATCATTATTCTTCCTGTTAATTATGTAGCAAAATAATGCTGGTGGTACCATTTTATAAAAAGCACTCTGAACTTGCATAATCCATCCAAGGAATATAGAAAATCAAGATCCGTTTTGGCAACCATTTTGGTACATCAAGCTAGGTGCAGTTACAGAAATAAATAAGCCCCATTCTCAGTGAAGTACAAGGACAAATTTTATGATCTTTCCATGTTCACTATGAATTGAAATGGAAGCTATTTTTTATCATTGGTCACTTGAGAATCTGCCTGAATAACTGAGCAGCCATAAACTCAGAGAGGAAAAAGAAAGTTCCTTTCAGGCAATAGTGGGGTTTGAACCCAGGACCTTGCACCTACTTGGCTAATGTTCTACTACTTGAGCCACACCTGCAGCTGGTTACTTTTGAAATAAGTTCTCAGTTCCCTCCTGGGCTCTGAATTGCGCCACTGCCTATTCACAGGTATGAGCTACAGCTTCCAGCTTCCTTCCCTGGGTTGATGTGAGCCTTCTCCATCCACATTTCAACGCTCTGGTTTGGGACACAAACAAGGAAATTTTCCCGCTGGTTACATCTCTCTTATTTCTCTCTTTCCCTGACAAATACCTAACATTTGGTATTTCATTTAATAGGCATATAATCACTTGAGCCTTTTTTGTTAAGGTGTTATGATATGTCTTTTTTTTCATCAAAATGGCTAGAAATGAAAAGACAGACTAGGCCAGTTTTTGTGTCAAAAGTGTCTCTAGGGCTAGGAAGGTGGCTCAGTGGTAGAGTGCTTGCCTTGCATGCATGAGACCCTGGCTTCAATTCCTCAGCACCACATATGCAGAAAAAAAAGCTGGAAGTGGCTCTGTGGCTCAAGTGGTAGAGAGCTCGCCTTGAGCTGAAGAGCTGAGGGACAGCATCCAGGCCCAGAATTCAGACCCCAGGACCGACAAAAAACAAAAGTGTCTCTCTCATAGACAGTACATACTTGCATCTGTTTCCTGTTTTTAACCTTCCAAATCCAAATATATTGCTATTCATTTTTTTTAATTGTGAAAATACTGTACAGAGGGGTTACAATTACATGGGCAAGATAATGAGTACATTTCTTATCAAGCATTGTAGCCTCCTCCTTTGTTTTCCCCTTCCCAGCTCATCCTCCCCCACCCAAAACTACCCCCCCCCCCCACCGAAGTTGTAAAGTTCATTTTCGACATAATGACTTGTACATCTCATTGTTGCAATGGGTCCACCTGTACCCCAATTTAAACGATTTGGTTTTTTCCCTTCCCCTCCACAGATTATACCAACATCAAATACAGTGAAAGCAGGGCTTATACCCTGGGGGAGGAACATATAAATCATTTTTTATTTGTACCCTTCTTTCTATTGCTTTAATCCTAACTTTTTACCTTCCTCTAAATTATTTCGATTTTTAGCATTCCATTTTAAGTTCTTTATGAACTTTAAAATTCATCTGTTTTACTATTATGGTAGCTGTAGGAAGTAAAATGTGGGCATCCTTAAATTTTTACAATCCACATAGAGTTAATCATGCAAGACTTCCCCAGCAATCTTTCCATTATTGTTTTCACATATATGTATATGTGAATTGTTGTGTATATATATTTATATATTTATTATACTCACATACATTATATACTACAAAATTTAATATTCTACTTTGTGCTTTAAATAAGTGTATCTTATAAACGAAGAAAGAAGAAATCCTTTTATCTTTATCATTTCCTGTTCTGTTCAATTCTAGCTATAGTTTTAAATTTCTAACCAGCACCATTATTCTTCAGGCCTGAGAACAGTCTTTTTTTTGGGGGGGGGGGGCCGGTCGTGGGGCATGAACTCTGGGCCTGGGCACTCTCCCTCAGCTCTTCAGCTAAAGGCTAGCGCTCTACCACTTGAGCCACAGTGCCACTTCCGGATTTTTTCTTTTTGCTTATGTGGTGCTGAAGAATCGAACCCAGGGCCTCATGCATGCGAGGCAAGCGCTCTACCACTGAGCCACCTTCCCAGCCCCAAGAACAGTCTTTGACATTACTTGAACTGTCTCTTGTGAGTAATTGTCTCGGTTCTATTATAACCTTGAAACTCACTTAATTTTGCCCTCATTTCTTTCAAAGGCATTTTCAGTAGATATAAAATAGTGGACCAATCAAGTTCTTTTTGTTATTTCAATATGCTGCTTCAAACATCCATTGTTTCTGGTAACGGCAATATACCAAAGCCAGCAGCAGGTGAATGCACTAATTTTGTTACTGGTATAACAAAATGTGTATACTTCCTCAAACCTTCAAAGTATTTTTCTACACCTCTGGATTCCAATAGTTTTCCTAGGGTATTCCTACGTGTGAATTTGTTTGATTGTTTGCATGCTTTTGAGATGGGATCTCACTGTGTTAACCAGACTGAAGTGAAAATCATGGGCTCAAGTGAACCTCCCACCTCAGCCTCCCAAATAGCTGAGACTACATACATGAGTCACTGTGCCTATCTTATTTGCACACACACACACACACACACACACACACACACATACCATAATATAGATAGATAGATAGATAGATAGATAGATAGATAGATATAGATATAGATATAGATATATATTCCTTGCAATTATCCTTGGAACTTGCCAGATCTTTTAACTTTAGAGAGAATTTTAAACATGATGTGCTCAAATATTAGTATCTGACTCTTTCTATTTCTCTCTCTTTTTCTCCCTCTCTCTCCCTCTCTCGCTCTCTCCCTTTCTTTCTTTCTCTCTCTTTCTGTCTCTCTCTGTTTCTCAACCCCTTTTCTGGGACTCCAGACTACTTGATATTTATCCACAGGTCCCTAAAGCTGTTGAGTTTTCCCCCTACCTGTTGGTCATGTGACTCATTGTTTTGCAATTTATAATCTGATATTAAATTTATCTAGCTCAAATATTTTATTTCAAATGATAGATTTTCAATTTCATTGTTTCCACTGGGTGGAAACAATCATTTCCATTTCACTCCTGAGATTTCTCATCTGTTTACTCAAGATGACATATTTTTCTTGCACTTCATGAAAATATTTAGAGTAGCTTTAAAAGCATTTGTCTGTTAAATGAAATGGCTGAGTCATTTTGAGCCTTTCATGAATCTACAATTGATTTCTAACTTATAAATGAGCACTGGTAATTATAGTTATTTTTCACTGTTGTTTTTTGTTTACGTATAAAGTTAAGCCAGATGTGGCCAGACTTCATGGATATTGATCTTGCTAAGAGCATATCATTTTGTTATCATGCTTTTCCCCTTGCTGGGGTTTGTTCATCTGCATGTGTTCATTTTATTGTTTAAACCCATTTTACAGAATTGAGTTGCTGTGCTGACTAATCAAGAGTGAAAAAAGTCTAAGAAATACTCTAGCTACATCCTTTTGACTAAGACTCAATCACAGCCTTGACCCAGTCTAATCATGAAAAAGTTGCTTACCCCAGTCTACTTCTCATCATTTGTAAAATCATTCACTAAATGTTTATGGAGAATGCCCATTGGGGGACTGGGTAGGTGATTCAGTGGAGGAGCCTTTTACCCAGCACATGAGAAGCCTTGGGTTCCATCTTCACCACTGGGAAAGAGAGAGAAAAAAGTAGAGAGAGAAGGAAGGAAGGGAGGAAGGGAGGGAGGAAGGGAGGAAGGAATGGAGGGAGGGAGGGAAAGAGGAAGGGAGGGAGGGAGAGAGGGAAGAAGGGAGGGAGGGAGGAAGGGAAGGCAGGTCGCCATTATGGAAACTGCTGCTGAAGACACTGTCTGTTGTATTCTTCAATAACAAAATCATAGATCTCAACGTTTTCTTTCCATTGCTCCCTAGGGAGTTACTGTGAGAGTCTACTTCAGCAAAAAAGGTTGTCGTCAACTAGACACTGTGTTTGCCTTGCCAGGAGTCATAATACATACACCACCAAAGTTGGATCTAAAGGTAAGTATTTGAGTCCAGCTTCAAAAGTCTCAATCTAAACATTCCCTATTTATCTTCAGGCCTCAGTGTTACCACAGGCGGTTTGGCAGGCCAAGGGGATGGTCTGGGAATAGAACTAAATTTTGCAACTAATATGTGGAAAGTCTTACCTTTGCAATAAATGTAGACTTCCAAATGATCATCAGACAATGAAATCCCAGTACAACGAGAAATGGAGAATACAACAAAAACTGATTTATAAACTTTAGCTGGAAGCTGGAAACCAAATGTTAAAGTTGAATAAATCATAGAGAATGAGGTAATGAAGTTTTTTGTCCAGCAAGTAAAAAATTAATAAAGCTACTCTTATGAAAAAAATCTTTAAAAAATTAAGAATTCATCAAGTGGAAAATATACATAGAATGGGCCACTTTATAAACTAGTAAGATATACCACCAAGTAAGCTTGGTAGTCAGTATGGAAAGGTTTCAACTAAATTCACAATGAGAGGCAGTAGGCCTTGGAAGAAGAGGATATGAACTTGAATGTGGGCTCTGTCACTTATTGGTATGGGGCCAGGAGCAAATTATTTAGTCTCATTTAGCCCAATGTTTTCATCTGGCAATTGGATTGCATAGTACTCCTACCTGAGAGAGTCAGAATGCTGTTTAAATAATATAATGTATGAAAATTGGATAGCCTAGTAGGTGGACTATGGTGTGAACTTAATAAGTAGTATTATGTAGTCGCTGTAAAAGATCACTATGAAATTACAGGGTATTTATGGCATGTGTGTATGTGTGTCCAAAACGTTTTCCCTTTGGTACCTAAGCCATAAGAAATATTGCATCTATACTTCAAGTTACTATGAAAGTAAGCAAAACCCACTCATAAAACATGAGCCCTTAGAACAGAATATTTCAGCAAGACTTCTGGAGAAAATATTTGAAATGTAAAACAAGAGGAAAATATAACCCTGGAGACATGACAGGTATCTACTTATGACATTCATAATATATGGTTATTTAATAAATGTGGTTCTATAATACTACCTACATGTATAGTTCAGTTACTCACATAATTTAAAATATTTCTTTAGCTGGGATGTAGTTCAGTGGCAAAGCGCTTGCCTAGCTGGTACAATGCTCTAGGTTCAATCACCACTACCACAAATTAATTAATTAATTGATATAAAATATTTTTTAAAAATAGAAGTCATGATGCTGAGTGCCAGTGGCTCACACCTATAATCCTAGTTACTCTTGAGGCTGAGATCTGAGTATCATAGTTCAAAGCCAACCTGAGCTGGAAAAGTCTGTGCAATTCTTATCTCCAATTAACCATCAAAAAGCTACAAGTGAAGGTGTGGAACAAATGGTAGAGTGCCAGCCTTGAGTGAAAAAGCTAAGAAACAGTACTTAGACTCAATGTGAAGCCCAGGTACTGGCACAAAGTGCTACCACAGTCTCATTTTGTTACCATATCCTGTGTCCACATTCTCCCAGGTTCTGTCTCATCCACTGCTCTTCACACTTTCTCTTCCTCCTCCACATCAGGGCTCTCTTCCTATGTCTATTCTGACTGTCTTCTCCAACTATCACCTTGCTACTCGTTATTCCCAAGAGCTTTCCTCCTATCCCCAAGAGGTCCTGAGGCCCACCAGGCTCTTCCTACCACATCCTCCAGTAGAATTTATTCTGCACTGGTATTAGCTTTTCACAAGCCCTGGGTCTGTTAAAAGTCCCTTGTATCTTCCTTGTAAAGCTGTGACTTCAGTGATGTTTACATCATGTCTTTAACAATTGTGCTTGAAATGAAGGAATATTTAAAAGAACAAAAAGAATGGAGGGAAGAGAGACAAAAGAGAGAAAAGGATGACTTCCATTTTGTTGCTTTTTTGTTTTTTGGTGCCAGCCCTAGGGCTCGAACTCAGGGTCTGGGAACTGTCTCTAAGCTTCTTTGCCCAAGGCTGAACTATTGCTCAGCCAACCTGAGCACAGTTCCACTTCCTTTCTGAGTAGTTAATGGAGATAAGAGTCTCCAGCAGTCTCAGCCTGCCTAGGCTGGCTTTGAACCATGATCTTCAGGTCTGAGCCTTCTGAGTAGCTAGGATTATAGTGAGCCACCAGCACCCAGCCTATTTTATTTCTTGATTAGAGTTCATTGATGGAATGTCTTTTCTCAAAATTCACTCATCTGGAGCACAGTATTGACCTCACTTGTAAGGAATTCCTGATGCATTTATTTATACTCCTTTTGTTTATATTCCCATTGATGTGAAACTAAACTGTAAGAAAATACACTTCCTGACACAAGAAAAATTGGTATCTATTTTCCCCTTTTAAAATAATTTAACAAAAGAGCAGACACTTGAAAGTGGAGGTTTCCAGTTGGGAGGATGAAAATGATTCCTTATTCTGATGACTCTATTCAGACCACAAAAAAAAATTGCACCAAGTACACCAAACTTTTTTTTTATTCCAAGCCTAAGAAAAAGCATTAAAAACCAATCTTATAATTTGATTAGATGAACCAGGTGCTGGTGGCTCACACCTGTAATCCTAGCTGCTCAGGAGGCTGAGATCTGAGGCTCATAGTTCAAAGCCATCCCAGGCAGAAAAGTCCCTGAGACTTTTATCTCTAATTCACTGATAGAAAACCAGAAGTAACACAGTGGTTCAAAGCACTAGCCTTGAGAAAAAGCGCTCAGGAACAGTCCTGAGTTCAAGCCTCACAACCAACAAAATAAATAAACACACACACACACACACACACACACACACGATGGCCTCCAGAACAGAACCTTCTCTCCCAGTCTGAAAGCTGGAAACGTAACAGCACAGCTGTTGTGTGTGGTGAAGATGGTCTTGCTGGCAATGCAGATATCTCCCTTCTCACTATATCCTGGCATAGCCTCCCCCCTCTCTCTTTCTTCCCTTTCTTAGGACACTAATCCCACCTAAATGGCTCTCACCTAAACCCGGTTAGCACCAGGTACCAGTGGCTCAGGCCTGCAATCCTAGCTACTCAAGAGGCTGAGATCTGAGGACTGTGGTTCCAAGCCAGCCTGGGCAGAAAAGTCCCCATGAGACTCTTTTCTCCAATTAACCACTCAAAAACCAGACGTGATGCTGTGGCTCAAATGGTAGAGCGCTTGGCCTTGAGCACAAAGAGGCTCAGAGACAGTGCCCAGTCCCCAAGTTCAAGCCTCACAACCAATAAAGATTAAATAAATAAACACAATTACCTCCCAAATAACATCACTTTCAGCCTTAGGCATGAGTTTTTGTTTGGTTTTTTGTTTGTTTGTTTTTGTCAGTAGTGGAGCCTGAACTCTGGGCCTGGGCGCTGTCCCTCAGCTCTTCAGCTCAAGGCTAGTGCTCTACCACGTGAGCCACAGCGCCACTTCCAGCTTTTTCTGCTTATATGGTGCTAAGGAATTGAACCCAGGGCCTCATGCATGCAAGGCAAGCACTCTACCACTGAGCCACCTTCCCAGCCCCAATGCATGAGTTTTGATGGAACACATTCTGTCCATAAAAGTCATCCTTCCCTCCTCCTCCCCTTACTCACTTCCTCCTTCCCTCTTCCTTGCATCCCTATCACAGGTACCAGGGTTTGAACTCAAGATGTTTCTCTTGCTTGGCTTTACATACTTGGCTAGAACCCTGCCACCTTGAGTCCTGCTTTTGTTTTTATTTTGTTCATTATTTGAAGGATGAAGTCTCACAGTCAAAATCCCAGGCTAGCTTCAAACTATAATCCTCCAGATTTCAGCCTCCTGTGTAGCTAGGATTATAGGTGTGAGCCACACCTGTGCATGGGATAATATTAGTGTTTGTTTTTATTTTTAATGTGTGTGTGTGTGTGTGTGTGTGTGAGAGAGAGAGAGAGAGAGAGGGAGAGAGAGTGCAAGAGTATAAGAGAGTGCAAGAGAAAGAGCTGGTAATGGGGCTTGAACTCAGTGCCTTTCACTTGTTAAGCTTAACTTTCTTAGTTGGATCCCTACCATTGAGCAATACCTCCACTTCTAGCTTTTTGCTGGCTGACTGGAAATAAGGGTCTTTTGCATTTATTTGCCCAAAATGATTTGAGCCATGATCCCCAAATGAATTTCTAAGTATATTGGGAGCTGCAAAAAAAAGAGAGTAAGAGAGAGAGAGAAAAACAAGTTTCAAAATAATTAATCAAAGTTGGTTGCTTTGTGAAATAACAAAACCAAAATAAGTGAGAAAATATAATGGAAAGAGTATTACATTCAGGAAAACTACAAATCTAAACTCTACCATTTAACTATTTTCTGCCCTTAGTTAAATCCATTTAAACCTTCCACATGAAAATGTTCTCATATTTAATGTAAGATCCATAAAGATAATTGCCAGTATTAAAAAAAGAAAATGATTGTAGAACAGTTTTCCAAATGCCTGTAACATCACTACATATTATTATGATGACACAATAATAATTCAGAAATGAGAAATTCATTGGAATCATTTTAAGAAGAAATAAGTGAGTTGTACTTACATGTATGAGTTATAAAGATTTCTCAATGACCATAACAAAAATTCTCAATAAATGGTAATGCTGCTGGATGGAAGGCCTCTTGTAATATTTACAACATTCCAGGGCTGGGAAGGTAGTTCAGTGGTAGAGCGCTTGCCTTGCATGCCTGAGGCCCTGGGTTCAATTCCTCAGCACCACATAAGCAAAAAGAAAAAAAGCCGGAAGTGGCGCTGTGGCTCAAGTGGTAGAGCACTAGCCTTGAGCTGAAGAGCTGAGGGACAGCACCCAGGCCCAGAGTTCAGGCCTACGACCAGAACCCCACCCCAAAAAAATTTACAACATTCCAAATCAATGCAAAAATCAAAATAGATGATTCAACAAATACTCTTGGAATAATTGCCCAACTAGCTAAGAAAAAAATACACTTATACATCTTAATTTTACCTTCTATAAATTTACATTAAATAACTAAAATACAAAGAATACTTGGTACTTTTGCTAAGCTGCAAAAAGACTCA